TTTAAAGATTGCTATGTATTACGAAGCCCTTGTTTTGTTAAATCTGTTTGATGACTGGGGCAAAAATTAAAATTTGATAGATATATTTAACGTAAGTGGAATAAATATTTTAGACAGACTTTGATCAATAAAAAGCTCAAGTTAATTTGTATACGATATCATTAAATGATTTAAGAAATGAATACTTTGAACCGTTGACAATGTTATTGAATATACTAAACCCGAATAAGATACCAAAAGCTGAAATAAATTTATGAGTTGAATACACAACTTCATATTTATAGTTTATCAACTACTCCTCTCAGTTATGTAGGTTCATTGTCCTGAAGTATGTATATTTATACCAGAATGTCATTTATAATTGTTGTATAACATTCATGAAATTATTAGACGTGTACATGAATAGTAAGGGATATGTACAATTATAATCTATTATTTCTAATTCTTTTTATAAATAAACTGGTTAAATGTTGTCACTAGTTTCATTCTTTTTTCATTCTTAATAACTTATGAAATAATCAGCTGAGATAATGGTGGCTAGTAATGAATGTAAGTGCATCCCCGAATTAATGTTCACTACGGCACTCAAACCCAGTGCCGTTTTCTTTAAACACTATCGCGTTATCCACTTAGCTACTGAGTCCTCATAGCCACTAGCTTGTGCAGTTGTGTGAAATCTGATTTGTTTTTGCATTAATGTTTAGGGGGTACAATTGATCAACCTGTTATTGGCATACGTGCATCCTGTGTGGATTGCCTCGATATTACTTTCAGTTACGAGCATTATATATGTATGTAATATAATCAGTATAATGTATCTATGCCTATACTTATGTAAGTACATGCATATATATTTATTTGTACACAGTGAAAATTGACTAATTCATTTCCATAATTCGATTAATGAACATTGATGAACAAATAATTACGTGGAAAGAAATTTCTTTATTTCACTAATCTAAGAATACAGATAACGTTAAATGTATAAATATAGTGTTTTTCATAATATGTGATATTCATATAGGTTTCTATGACTTTTATCCTCAAATGAATTGAACAATTCTTACCGAAGGTGGTAATCAGATCTCTACTACGTCACCATCATTTTTTAAAATAAATATTTCTTATCACTAATTCTTTATAAATACAATATTGTATGTATTAATTATAGTAGCTAGAACAGTTCACATTATGGATATATAGAAAGATAGAGAAAGAGACGATAAAGATGAAGTGTACTAAATCCATGTTGTTTACATTAATACAAACCAGAATTTATACAAAGCACACTTAAAAATAACATTGATATAATTCAAGACAGACAGAGAAAAGATAATTAAAAATTTTATATTATTTACTGGGAGGCTTGAAAAATTAACTGGATATATCTAGTAAGTCAAATAGAGAGAGAGAGAGGGAGAAAGAAAGAAAGAGAAAGAGAAGGAATTACAGCTATAGAATAACAAAAAGGACTAAAAACCAAAAAAAATAAATGCGAAAACTACTAAGGGCAGACACACTGACAGGGCAAAATTGACATAGTTCACTTAATCTATTTTTATACTAATAAATAATCATAGCTAATAGAAAATTGCACATTAAAGAAGACAATAACACTAACTACTACATAAATATGTCCAATTTCATTCATTTGATTAGTTATCGGTTATATTACACATTGCTTCTAATATGAATTTTAATCTTAATTTATCATATGTTATAAGTAATTTGTTTACACATTATCCTCTTCTTCTTCTTCTTCTTCTTCTTCTTCTTCTTCTTCTTATCTATTGCAACACCAATAACTCTGAAAATGTGTAAGAAAATGAATGAAAGAGTCCAAAATTAAAAAAAAGATGGAAGGTGAATGCAAAAATAATAGAGGATAAAAATTTGTTTATATTGAAAGAATTTCATTTTTCTCTTGACTTTCTATACAGACATTTATGTGTCTGCATCTGTATATATATAAATGTATATATATGTATATACATAATTCTTAACTGATTAATAATAATATTTAATTAACCTTATTTGTTAAGATATGATTAATTTGATGGTTATTTTCTTATTACTATTTCAGTTGTTAGTTTGTGTTTTAAAATAAATAGGTCTCTTTATGAATACCGAAATCAGTTTCAGCTTTTTACTTACCAATGACTTGTTTCTAAATAAATGTATAAGTAGAGTTCAACCAGGTCTGTTGTGAGATAGGAACTCACAGAAGACAATGGTATACGGTGGCGCAACTTCGTGGATTGGTTGAAGTTATCCTACAGTTTTCCGATTATGATTGGTTTACTTTCAGTGGTCTAGCTGGTTAAGCGCCTGGCGCGAGACTCATAGGTCCTGGGTTCGAATCTCGCGGTGTGCAGGATCGTGGATGCGCGCTGCTGAGGAGTCCCATACTAAGACGAAACAGCCGGGTTTTCCATGGTGGTCTAGCTTCGACTGACTAATGATTTCAACCGCTATAAATGAAATGTTTTATATGACATACAAAAATGAATGAGTTGTGTTATATCATAGATTAAATGAAATGAGTAAATATGGTCTATTGGATTTTGAATGATTAGCTAAGCAGTACGTAGTTCATCAAGAAACATAAATGTGGAGGGTTCGAAGTCGTGCACGATCATCAGTATACACTGCTAAATAGTGTTAAGTAATATAAAAAAACTGTCATTTGGTGATTTTTGATTTTCAGTCATTGTCGCCTCTTTCTGTAAACTATTTTTATTGTCTGATAGGCTCATACTTAGAGTTTGTTGTGTGTTGTTGCTACTTATTCACTAATCATTCACTAGTTAAGTATCATTTATTTTGTTTACACTTATCATTGTTGATTGAATTATATCCATGAGTGTAATAAAAAACTAAATGACCTAATGCCATCTTACATTTTATGTATTACAGAATTTTTCATAATTTTACAAATATATTTTCGATTGTTAGAAGAGAAAAGGATTCTCAATAATAAGTATGATGGCTGTCATCAGATGACAGAAACTAAGACACCTACCCTGTAGAAATAGGATTTTTTCATCTAACATAATAACACACTTATGCATAAAACATTAGTCATAAGAATAAAGATGATCAGAAGTCATTTAAGGAATAAGTAATTGGAAGATATGGGGATTATATGATATTTACTGTTGAACAGAATTAATCCATAACCATCAGGTTTAACCTTTGTTCTACAACATCAATATAGTATTGATCTACTGGAAGTTGTCAGCATAATGTTTAAATTGCTACTTATTTAATTATCATAACTTATTTATTGTTCAGTGTCAAGTCATAATAACATGTTTTGTCTTGAATAAACTTTATCGCGTAAAAACATTTATTTACAGCTTCATATTCAAAAGTTAACAAAAATAACCTAACAACTTTCAAATCTTCAGACCTTGAGTTTAAAACATTTATGCAGAAAATGAGATGAAAATTGTCAGAATCATAGTAGTTCACATTACGGCTATCAAATGACTACTTAGCAAACACAATCCACAGTCATATGTTTTTGTCTGTCAAACTCTATCAGATCTGGACAGAGAATAAGAGATATAATTCTTTACATTTTTTGCACAAGTGATCGACACAAACTCAAGATGAAATTAGACTACCACCTTGGTATTTTTATAGTTGATCAAATAAAGAAATATGTTAGGCATGCAATGAATATTTTCTGATATAACGACTAGTGCTAAATGATACTAACTTAATTATTTCAGCAGTTGTTCTCTTCAAATCTATCGATTTAGTTTAACAATTAAAAACTAGGTAACATTTCTTCAAAATCCCATTTAGACCAATGAAAAATGTATACTAAACACGGTGTATCACAATCTAATCGAGTTATGAAAGCGAAATATTTTTAACACATTAAACATGATTAAAATTATTGATCATAATCTTGCTTAATTCATTACATGTTCGAGCTGGATGGTTTAGTCGTAGAGCTTTCATCGTTCTTCTGAACGGCATCATCAGCATAAACTCCCACCTGAAGTAGAAGTAGAAGTTTGTGTTGATGATGTCGTTTAGAAGAACGATGAAAGCTCCACGACTAAGCTATCCATCTCAGAGAACAAAACTCCATCAAAATCATCCACCTGAGCTACACATTTTCTCCACCATCTCAAAATCACTACATGTTGATAACATTTCTAGTGCATCTGTTAAATAATAAATATATTACAGAGAAATATGTAACTGATAATAATCTAGTGATTGCACAACAAAAATGGACTGAAGTACTTTATTTTATGGAAATCACATATTCAAAAGTATTGAGTGATAAAAATATTTTTAGGAGTGGAAGAAACTGTCACATCCTAAGACATAAAATGAAATGACCCACTCTATAAATGTAATACATGAAGTAATTCAAAGTAGAATACAATTCACAAAAAGAACCCTGCTATTATATTTTAGTGTTAATCAATATGCAATCTAGTTTTTATGGTTAATCAAACACACAATATCATCTTTAATGAAACTCATTCTCATTCACAAAAACCAATTTACAATCGAAACATGGAGGAGCTAAAATCAGGTCATAATAGATATAACTTTTTAACTATATAAAAATCTTAACATGGATGAAGTGGTTCGGTGTGAACAATAAGATTTCCATAAACTACAAACTTTTCGACTTCTCATTTTGTCTAAAAGTTTTCCTTATTATAACCAATTTTTGTCACTAACTAAAATACCACTAAAAAACCAGGGAACTTTGAACTGCTATCTCTTTCCCGTACCGAACTCTTTAATAATATCCAAATACAGATCGGACATGAATCTTTAGATTACACATACAGTACATAAACTTTAGATTATTATGTTATAATCAAATGTATCATACTTCTAATATCAAATTATTCTCTGTATAATTAAGTAATCAATAAGTAGTATCATTGATCATTAAACTTTTATTAAGATTTTCTTAATCATTTTATTATTATTGAATTATTTTTCTTTCATTTCAATTATAGTTAATAATAATGAACAAATAAATAATAAGACATTTAAATTATTATCTGAATATATTGGTCAATCAGATAGAAAACTTATTTCATCATTTCATCAAATTCCAACTGTGAGTCATTATTAATTTAATAAATGTTAATTCATTAATTATTTCATTCCACGTTTTCTTTTTCTTTTCTTTGTCGCTGTTGTTGTTGTTGTTGTTCCTAGTACATTCAAGCATTATTATTACTTATATGTATATTTATTATACAAAATTAATCTAATTTATTTCACTTTAAGGTTCATTGAATTTTTATTAATAGCAATTATCAAATGAACTATTCTCTTCTTCTTCTTTTTTCTTCTTCTTTTTCCTCTTCTTTTTTATTTCAATAATAAGTATAAGAGTTTAAGGAATAGTGAAGTTGACTAAAACACTGCTTGTTTTTTTCACTTTACTTGAGTTCGAATTTTACAATTGGCTTTTCAATTTTCTAAATTTGATAGATCTATACAAAAAAGTAAAACTATATTGTTAAGTTTTATATGATACAATTAAGTTATCTTCATTAGTAATTACTCAATATTTATCAGCGGTAGGGATATTTGGGTATGGTATCTAGATATTGTCTAAAGATTAGATAAGAACAGATAGAGAAACAGAATAATAAAAAGAAAAGGTAGGATGAAATTCTTTATAAAATTTCTAAAACAATTTTACCCACATATATAAAGTGACTCTACTATGATGGTTATCAATCATGATGACGTAATATGTAATTATTGTGAATTAAGTTGAATCATATTAATTAAATATATTTAAAACAGAAATAAAATATCACCTATGGAGACATCTCACAAGTTGTAAATAGAGTTTCGAATCTAACAAAAAAGTGTTAACCATTTCAATTCAGTGAAATGATTTGGTTAATTAGGAAAGAAAACATTTAGTGACAATTAACTCAATGATACCTCATTTCAATGATTTATTAACTTATAGCTGAGAAGGTTCTATGGTGATTGTTCCCGTTTGTAGGTTATCCATTGATTCCTGGATCAATATGTGATTGATACATTTTACAATTTATTATTGAAAAGAGAGATTTCATAATCAAAATGAAAACCTACTTCAAACATTTTCTAGGAAAAATTTTTTTTATCGATCAATCATCTTGGAACTATATGTCATATCTAAGCTGATAAGTTTATGATGTAAATAATTAACAGCAGTGTAGATTAAGGTAAGAAATTAGTGAAATACGATTCATTATGTGAGGTGCCTTTCGGTACGATTTATTTCAGTGTGTATCAGGTAAATTCTACACTATTTTTACTATATGTTTCTCATACAATAAAAATCTTCATTGTGGACATTTTTTACTTTGATATCTGAGGAAGAAATGTACGAGTTAAGTATACAAACATATATTCATTTCATTGGTTGAAATCATGAGTCAATTGAAGCTAGACTACCATGGAAAACCTGGAAGCACCGGACGGCGGTTTCGTCCTAGTATGGGACTCTTCAGCAGTGCGCATCCACGATCCCGCACACCGCGAGACTCGAACTCATGATTTCAACCAGTGAAATTTATAAAAATCTCCACAAAACTCCTGATAATATATTCATTTGTCACTTAATTGATATGCTTTCATCTCACAATGAATACACCATGTCTTTTTTTTTAAAGATTAGAGATATTCGTTAGGTTTTAACTTGATAATGTTGTAGGATATATTATTTCATAGATAGCGAATTATCTAAATTTGACATACATTACAGTATTTTTGTATAGATGATCATTTAATGTTGCTACGTTTGGTTGAGGAAATACGACAGGATAAATTTATCTAGGTAAATTTAATTTTACGGTCATCTTCACCACAGAATTTAATTAACTGAAAAACCATGACATCAAAACTAGGTATCTCAACTTTGTTTGGCAATTCGTGAGAGAGTAAACTTAGGAATTGCAGTCCCAATATTCAATGAGTATAATATCTCCAGATCAGTCGTTGGAGTAATGCGATTAATAACTAATTTTCGAACACTTTCAAAGTATAGATACATACATTTATCCTATCACAATGTAGTTTATTTTCCAAAGCAAACATTTTTCATTTCGGTTAATACCGAAAATGACGAACAAGTTAATAAACGTTTCGTTGTCAAAATTATGGAGAAAAATTGTACGTCCTGTAAGCATAATAGTATATATGCATGTGTGCGATTAAATGAATGCTCAACATCTATTGTCATTTGATGAGTTAGCCTATACCATAGAAAACTCAATCAGCGACAAGTGGGTTTCATTTTTAATAGTACTCAAGTGCGTAAGAAGATGAAATAATTTTATGAATTTTAAATGATTTCGTCTTTAAAATGTAGACAAACATTTCTGAAGAAAACCGTCTACCTACATTTTCTGCCACTGGTTCTAACAACATTGGTGACATCAATATCGCATTCTCACCCACCGGAGGAAACGGTGAGCAAGCAACTGAGACTGAAGGTTAGTTACATTTTATAAACTGTATTGCAATTAACTGATAATAAACATGGATATCTGGGATGCTGATTATTTGTGAATACTTGGCTTTACTACTTATTACTTATTAAGTAACCATGTGATGATACAAGATATATATACAAACTTACATATAAATGGAGTGTATTGTAGGATTAAGTGGAACGAATGAGCTACACATTTTAACTCTGACCATCTTATTGTAAACTAGGGGAGTAATAAATAATGGATTTTATGTTCGTCGGTGCTGATTTGATTCCCGAATTATTGAGGATATTTCTATATACATTTTTTTTAAAAACATGAGTTTTGACTAAAAGTGAAATCCAGGACAGACGTTTTGTCTTATTTTGGATTTAGCGTTTAAATTCACAAAAAAAGCTAAAATGAATCAACCTATCAAGATATACGTATGCCAACAAAGATTTAAAATTTCATTCCCGATTATCAACTAAGAAATAGTTCATGTCATTACCAAGAATGATATTTCTATACATGATTACCATAATTAACGGGAATATGTATGACTACTTTTATCAAAGAAATAGGTATTAGCAATAATTTCTAGATAAACGTTGTAAAATGTCAAAATGAATTCTCTTTACGATTTCTACCACAATGTGAAATAAACACATACAGATTTCGAAAAAGTAACCAACTTCATCCAAAATAAGATTGGACATGAGGCTATAGGAAAATTTGAACTACCTATTAATTCCTCTTTCAATAACTTACTCTTCCTTTCTTAAAATACAAGACTAAACACTACTTTTTTTTCATTTTTAATAATATCTACTTAGCTATACGGTGTCATAGTCAAATTAATAGCTCATCAATTGATCAAAACGTTACAGAAGATTTAACAAATGCTACCAAGTATAAATTACAGTAAGATTTTTTTTATTAAGTACTTATTTTCACTTTGTTTACGTTTATTGTTTATAAATTTACTTAAATAGACAGTCTTCCCTGGAGATCTATTTCAATCCCACTAATCACTGATGTTATATTTTAGTTAGATTCCTGAAACTTATGTGAAATTGCCACTGTTGTAGTTAAACTATAACCAGAGTAGTACATGTATCATGAATGCTATGAGACTGTCACTACAAAGTGTAAAAAGTTGAAAATTCATGCCATTACATTCCTGCTCATTGGTCTAAATTTGTTTTTTCAACCATAAGAACCGAAAATTTTGATTTCAATCTCACTAGATTGTTGTGAGTATGTACTGAAGAGATGTCCAAAAGCAAGACAAAATTACTATTCAATGCTTTACGTTTTTCAATGTTCCTCCGTGATGAAAGTGTTATTTAAGCTTTAAAATGATTCGTCATTTATTACTACGAATTTCATGTGTGTATGTTTAGTATTCACTTCAATTTCATCTACCATGTCTACAAGATTGTAGTCAAAATTAATTATCATAGCAACTGTGTGATATATGTGTTTTTCTTTTTAATTTGTTTAATTTAACTATTATTACTAAACAACATGGTGACATCATCGATGCGTAAATTGGATTTTTCATTTGGAAAATTATCCAATAATAAATATTACCAAGTAAAGAAAGTGTTTATTTATAGTAAATGATACTATTGAACTTAATTATAATCATCACTGAACATAGTTAGGTGTTAATAACTATATATAAACAAAAAATTAAATTGGTTTTGACTAATCAACTATATCAATCATTAAAAAATTAATTCCGCCTACTAATACTTCTTCAACAGATTTCTTAATGCAAATTAAATGAATTATAAATGAGGATAAAAAAATAATAAATGTTCAACCAAAGATATAATTGGCTTGATGTGTGTGTGTGTTTAGTGGAGTTAATCAAGCTCAAGTTATATTGTCTAAATAAAGTTAACAATGTAATCTGAATTCAAAACTAAATTAATAATCTGTAAGAGATCAGTAATTAAACAATAACTTAGATTATGAAACTAGATAATACTGTTTTGAATCGTATGGGAAATATCAGTTTTTTCAATAGTGTAAGCACAATATTGCTGGTGAGTGTTGACAAGCATGAAAATTAGGTTCAGGATTGCGTATGTACTATATCCAATCATTAAATATTCAATCACAAAATATACATATCATGTTTAACACCTATTAGTAAAATATAGATTTGTACCATCAGAAACTTATCAACAGAGCTTCCATTATTGTTTTCATTATTTCATAAGAATCTGAAGTTAGTTTACAGTGAAGATTTATATCAGTTAGAGAAATATCTAAAATCGGAGAAAAGTGAATAACTTAGTTTCATACCTAATAATGCTGGGTTTGATCCAAATCCATCTTTTTGTGTGTATACTTCAAAGAAGTTTAATTCCACATGTAAACACAGTAATACGATAAGAAAAATAATATATTTTGCTCCGTTCTTAAGGTCATTTATGTGCTCCTCTAATAACATAACCATATCATTAGAAAAAGTCATAAAATTAATCTAATCTATAAAATATTATGAAAAAATGGTTCATAAGAAAAGGAGGAATTTAATAGTTGAATACATCAATCAATTGAGACTGGACCACTATGGAAACCTGAAAGCAGTGGACGGCCGTTTCATCCCAGTATGGGACTCCATTCACGATTCTCCCCCACGAGATTCGAACCAATAATAGTATTTCTCTAAAGACAACGGTGACGCAATTTCGTAAATTGGTTGAATTTATACATCAACACCGTTGGATGCCGGCCTAGTGGTCTAGAAGTTAAACATTCGCGCACAAAACCGTTAGGTTCTGGGTTCAAACTTCGTAGAGCGGGAGCGTAGACGTGCACCGTTGTGGAGTCCCACAATAGGACGAAAAGGCCCTTCAGTGCTTTCAGATTTTCCATGGTGGTCTAGCCTCAACTGACTCATGAACTCGACTATTAAATTATCAAAATCTCCAAAAAACTCCTGATAAAAGAATAAATATCTATTGCTATTCATTTTACTTTGAGTTCAAATATACATTAGTTAATTAATCTTGATTTTGATGGAATTATGTAATTGGGATTCATTAAATATTCAATGCTCATTATGTATATGTACATTTGGTTGTACAGATTTTCTTTTAAAAACATTCGTTTTTGGCGGGTCACTTCAAATCACTACATAATTTATTTATTGAAGAACAGCTATAAGTCAATTAAAAGCTTGATAAATGAACGTCAAGACGTTTTAGTGACAAATCTCCAATCCATTTATTTAAAAGAAAATTAGCTGGTAATTAGATAATTTAAAACATCCATCAACCTACTGTGTAGATAAATAAATACTAATAGTTCATTTACATTATAAATATGATCTAATCGAGTGATAATTATCTTGAAAGATTGTGTTTATTGTGACAGTTCATTCTAATGAAGATAATTATTCTTGTATCGTGTGAAAGATATTATGATTAATCAACTGGTTAATTAAAACGACAATTTACTTGAACAGAAGGGTAGATGCAAAGATAAATGAAAGTTATCAAATAAATAAATATTGTTGATAATATAGTTGATGAAATAAATGCAAATAGGGGTTAAAACAAATTTTTTTTCAGGAAAGTACTTATTGATCAATGAGTACTAACCAGTTTCATGTATTTCTGGTCTCTAGTGTTGATCGAATTAGGATATCACATGATCAAGGTATTATGATGCAATCAGTGTTAATGTCTCTAATTATGACACTGGGTTCGAGTCTAAAAACACTAATACTGTCAAGTTTGCAGATCCATTTTGATAGAAGAAAATCCAAAGCCATAACCACTTAACTGATTGGTTGTAACAGCTTAACATTGTATCGAATGTAAATAAATCAAACAAACAAGATAACACTAAGCGATTGAATCTGTGTCTAAACAATTCGTACGTTTTACTTCCGGAAATTAATAATATTATAGGACCCTATGTGAGACCATGAATGAGGAAAATCGAAGTGGAACAAAAAAATTGTTTCATACTCAGTAATATTTATATGTTATGAAATTTCTCTTCATATTTTCGTCTTATTAAATATGCATAAAATGATTTGGTTAAATATTCTGACCTAAAATCTTTGTGTATGCTCAGGTTGAAAGGCATCAACTGAATTGAAAATATTACGCCAAATAAATCTCCTTAATCTATACCAATTAATCAAAGGTGAAATAATTATTCTCTGACGTGATAATTACTACTCATCTCTAAATAATCAATTGAATATTTTAAGATTTTGTTAAAATTTCAATGTTGGATACAGTCAATTATTCGCCTGATCAAACCAAGAACTTATCACTTTCATAAAAGTTTCGTATACTAATTTTTTATTTTAAAGAAAATATTAGTATTTGAATTTGGAATAAAGTTACGACTATTTATAAAACTTATCAGTATTGCAAACTCATCAATCTTTAATCTCATTCATTATACATTGATATTGGATAGGAGTATCTAAGACTAAATTCAATTAGTATATAGATTCACATAAAAATATTTAAAATGGGCCACTTCAATGACTTTATTCATCGTGTACCTATAGATGCTTATCTGAAGCAAGTATTCAAAATACTAACAATAATAATAATAATAGTAAATCAAGAATCAGAGGTTAAAGGTGAAGGGTTAAGTAAATACAAACCATTACTTATGAATTAATCAAAATAAAGGTCACATTAAACACCGCTTCATTTTGATATGTGGGTTGAATTAACTAATATTTAAAAACTACGGTGAAATATTCAACTATGGTTTCTAAATTACTCCATATCGATGTCAACTATTTAAATGAGAACAGAAATGTTTTCCAATGAAAATAGATTCAATTTTAATGAATTGGTTGAAGTTAGACATTAACACCGTTGGATGCCGGCTCAGTGGTCTAATGGTTAAATGCTCGCGCGCGAAGCCAGTAGGTACTAGGTTCGAATCCCGCGGGGTGCGGGATCTTGGATGCGCACTGCTGAGGAGTCTCATACCAGGACGAAACGGCCGTCCAGTGCCTCCAGGTTTCCCATGGTGGTCTAGCTTCAACTGACTCATGATTTCAATCTGTGAAAAATTCTAAAATCTCCACAAACCCCTTCTGATAACTGCATATAGATTAAAACAGAAAATATACACAAATGATCAGACATTATTTAATTAACATTGAATAGATTCATTACATTTTCACACTTTTCTATTACTAGTTAGTGAAAGTTGTTAATCTGAAATTTATTTAAATATTTAAATCAAATACAATTTGATATTCAAAAACAAACAAACAAACCAAAAATACAAAAAAGTTACTAACTAAGTAATATAAAATACTTTAAATTATTAATTAACTAACTAAATACTTAAACATGTTTATAGTGTTGCCTCTATTATTATTATTATTATTAATTATAGACCATGTAATGAATTGAATAGAACAGTTATTTCAATCAAATCTCTTACTAATGATTGGCCAACTAGACCAAATTCGGAACCAATTTTAAAATTAACCAATCATAATCCTCTTGAAGTTGAAATCGATTCGAGTAAGATAAATGTAAGTACTCATATTTATGTATATTTGTATTACATTAATTTACATGTTTATATATTTTCACTTATTTAAAATATGACTTATTATCTAACTAGTAAATAAATAAGTTTTACGACTCCTCTACTGAGTATTTTATGATTAATTTATGCATGAAAATCTCAGTCCATTGTCTAAAACTCGGGGTTCATAACATTTATATATATATATATATATATATATATATATATATAGAGAGAGAGAGAGAGAGATTGTTTTAACACCGGTACATTTAGTTAAATAGAGAAAAAAAAGTTAATTCAAAATCGATTTCATAAGTTTGTAGACTGTCAACAAAAAATTCAATATTCTCAATGAATTATCATTGAACTATATAATAATAATAATAATAATAATAATAATAATAATAATAATAATAATAATAATGTTATTAAGGTATTTAAACAGTAATTTACATCTTGTAGAACTGAAAGTTCATATAAATTTCTGTTTTATTAAATGTATCATGTTCACAGACAACTTGAACAACTTATGAAGAACTTCAGATGAGTTCTTTAGTAATTACTGTCAACTTAATGTAATCAATAAGATTAGTTATCTATTCTGAAATAAAAATTATATATATTCTACAGTTGATTTCAAATATAAACAATCAACCTTAGTAACATCTCATTTATTATTATTAGTTTTTTTTTTCTCTTAAATTCATATTAGTGTTCAGTAAAGAGCAATATGAACACAAGTAAAATTGAATAAATACCCATTCAACCGATCATTTGTAATAATATCTTTGTATTAAACATTGACATACCATATATTACTTGAAATACAGTACTTAGTAATTATAAAGTACAGTTTCATGTCAATAAATGTATTTTGATGTAGGTTTAAAAACCCTAAATGGACAAAGAGAAATCTCCAAACTCTCTTTCTTTTAGAAAGAACGTCTGAAGGATGAATGAGTCCAAATCGTTGTTGCAATCCAACATTTTGAATTCGTGATTTGTCATGAGTTTGTTTGGATTGATTGTTCAATATTTTAGTTAAATAACGAAAGGGGGTAGATTTAATGAGAAAAAGTATTTTTAAAAAGCCACTTATAACTCATTCAGTTGTTGACTATCATGATAGTCAGCGTGAAGAGAACGGCTGTAGAAATATCCTGAGGAAACTGAGACTAGGTTTATTTATCTAGATACATTTAGTTAAGACTATAAATAAGGATGTATGTATAAATCATGGGGTACATTTTGTGGAAATCAGTAGACAATCTCAAATGAGTAAATATAAACAACTCCAAATTATATACTGATTCTCATGGATTGTACTTACATCTTTGCTTACAGTAAGAGCCATCGGTCTCTATTTCAAGAAACTTAGCCTTAATTTCCCCAGGATGTTTATACAACGGCTCTCTTTACGTTGACCAACATAATAGCCAACATTTGAGTTATAAATGACTTGTTCAACAATATTTTTCCCTTGTTTAATATTTTCAGAAAAGCATTGGTTAACCGTATGATATCTAACTTTAATCCAACGTAAATGTTAAGATCAATTAAAGTTATATTAGAAATATTTGAAACACTGACAATCATACTTCGATCAAGTTTTAATTATTAATGCAATAATGCAAATTAATTCAAGTTGTTGATATAAATCACTCAGTGATGCTAAAGTTAATTCACTCACTTTGTAAACTGAAAATCTTCTATTCGATCCATGGACAAACTTATCACTATAAATTTTTGAAAATTTTCATACTATGAAGATACAACTATCTCATTGTCAGCAGTAGTCCAACTTTAGTCAGTTTTTGTGAATATAAAGTACCATGAAATTTGAAAATATTTTTTTAATAATGTTACTCTTTTGTGCTGATCATATTTCAGATTTACAAAGCGAAAACTTATCAAAATCTATCTGATTCAACAGTCATTAATCAAGAGTAAGTGTATTTATTTTCGATTTTAATGCACCGATTGAAGTGAATCCATAATTCTCAATGAATTAATAACCATCATTGATATTTTATGTATTAAGCTATTTAAAAATTTTCTATCTTAATTTATCAAGGCTGAATACAAATGAAATTTTCATCTTGATTGTGGAGTAATTTCAAAACAATCAGTCTTTGAAATTAAGATTGCAAAAGAACAAATTCTTTCTTTACCTTGAAATTGTTAATAGAGTTCAATTTGTTAATATATTTGAGAGGGAATTCTATAATACCACGTTTTCAAAATAAAATAGTGTATGTTTACTATCAGTAGACAATTTTCGATATTATGTAATTTAAAGACATCGGTAGGAATCTCTGGATATGAACTTCGGACAATTCCTAGTAATTCTCACTACATTACTCTATGACTATAAAACTTGGTCTATGAAAGTAGGAGACATGGGTAGTCTGAGGATTTTTGGTCACAAGTGTCCTTAGAGCGTATAACGATCAAGTGAGAAGTTTCAAGCTTAGGAATACATCACAAGGCCATGGTGTCAAATCATTTTAGTTTGCGCATCTTTATTGACTATTGTTATTGGGAAATGTGGTAACTATACCTAACCATCGACTTCCTCCAACGATGATGTAAGCTGGTGTACGAAAAATATGGGAGCGAACAGAAGTATGACATCATCCCACGAAGTCATTGACTTTTTACCTGATCTATGTTGGCAGATATATGCTACCTGGTTGGCGCCTGCACGATTACAGCGATCAGCAGTTAAAAAGCTGGGTGATATGGCTTATCATCGGTCACAGCAATATGATTTTATCCTCCCCTTTGTCATGCTTCAGATCTTCAGTTCTCGTATTTCTTCATATATACATTTTCACTTCATCTTTTCGAATCACACTATTAATCGTTAATGCTTTATTATCACTGCTACTAACTTTTTCTATATTTTCTTATCTTGGCAATTTCTTTATACTGTATCTATACTGTATGGCGAATTGGACAAAGGCACTTATATCCTCGGATACGCTAATCATAACTAACTGACCGTAATAAGTTGTATTTGCAAACTTGAAGAACCTAGTACCTCATACTAAATTCAAGCCGGGACCAAATAGAAATATTACCAGTGGGCTGCTCAATCAGTAGTTGTAAACTTTATAACTTTTCACTTACTGATTGTCGAGACTATAATTTATATAAGATAACAGGCTCGGATTTAGGCGCGAAATTCACTCAACCATTTGGCTAAATAGTCTTGGTATTATAGCTGATGTCAGTTGGTGATAAAAACCCTAAATCTAATTCCTAACATTAACCATCAACTGTAAATCATAATTCGAATCCCTCACACTAATTTATAAACCTCATTTGGTCCTAGTTATCAGGTGAACACTCTCAAGGTCATTTTAGCGTCTCTCAAATGTCATCCATAAATTATAGTCTCACCATATTTACATCTGAAAACCACATTTTATCTAGCAAGTACGAACCAGGTCCTCTTCAAAATTCAGTTATGTTAGTTAGGCTTATGCGGTGTATCTCTTATAAGTTTTATCACAATAGATTAATACCATTATATGTTAGGATATATGTGCTAGTTAAACACTGGTCGGTAATGCATTGATTCTCTAGAGGGCAGTTGCTTGAACTTTGAATCTAGTGAGATTATAAGTTTTCTAAGCATATAGAATTTCAGCTAGATTTTAGCTTTTGACATTATCATTCAAATGTACACACAAAACACCATAAAGTCTCCATGATAGTTCGACATAAATTAGGTTTTCAATCTATATAAAAGCATATTGTTTAAATCAATTTCCTAATCATGTCAATACAATAACATTATCTTCCCTGTTTTCCATTTGAATCAAGCCTTATTAACAATAATTTAGTCATCAATATGATTATGATTTGTAACTGAGTCATTAATCTGTCTATTCATTTTTTTTATTAATTGTAATTATGTTTTCTCATTTTAAATTCTGTCGATAAATACTTACTGGTGATAATAATGGTTTCTGAATGTTTTCACCGCTTAACATGTTTAGCATATCCACCAGCGTTTATACAAACATATACTGTTTATTATACGTTATGCGAAAATGAAAAAAAATTAGATAGAATTTAGAGATGGGACAGGGAAGAAGTTAGTGAAAAATAAACAATACTGAAATTAATACACAGAAACAGAAATAACAAACAATTAACACTCAATTCCTTTTCTCATTTTTTTTTATTATTATTTACTTACTTCATACCGACATATATATTGTTATTTACTTTAGTGTTGAAAATTAGCTACTGCCATTATTTAATACTATGATTATTTAAACTATAGATTAAATGTTTGATAAGCGAACAGTTAAACATTTTAAATACATATAAACATACAACTATATGTAGACAATTGACCCCTGTTCGAATAATCATAATCTTTCCACTGCTGATTTTCATCACTCACCCTCTCTCCCTCTCCCTCTCCCTCTCTCTCTATATATATAATATTATATGAACCCTTAAGGGTTCAAAACTGGTACCTCATACTTGAATTTTTTAAAAAGTCAATGGTAAATGATTACTACATGAATAATGTTTTTTTTATACTCATGGATATATATATTTGTGTGTGTTTGTTCTTTTTCTTTAAAAAGCATGTAGGATTATAAATAAATGCACTGAAACATCTGTTATTTACACCACTAATTATTATTAAGGCAAGTAAAACATTGATAATCATAACAATGTTTACAAAATACAAACTTTGACCTTATTTTTTTTATTAATATAAGTGGAACACAATGATCACTAATCATTCACCGCCAAACTTTCTTATAATAACTTTCACCACCACCACCACCATCATCATCGCTCACATTCCATTTGTACATATGGAACTTTCATAATGAAACCTTGTATATTTATTTATAGTGTATGTATAAAATATTATTGGGCATGTCTAAGTGTTTATCACTTAGATATTTATATATCAATTAAGTGTAATATAATAATAATAATAATAATAATAATAATAATAATAATTAAGATTATTTAACATTGTCACTTATCTTTCTGATAAAGGAATAATGAATTATATCATCACCATCATCATCAACTATCTTCCCTTCTATTCATTCTTATGGATTACTAATCAGTTAGTTATCTCATCTACCTTTTTTTTCTATTATCCAAAACTGATAAGATAAATTGTAAACATTTAAGATGGAGAAGGTATCAATAAGTATTATCATATATATTTTTTTAATTATGAACAATAAATTGTACCAAATTATTGATAATATTTTATCATATAATTAATTATTTACTTTGTTTATAGTCTTATAATAACATAATAAATATCAGAAGGGGTTTTGTGGAGATTTTTAGAAATTTCAATAGTTGAAATGAGTCAATTGAAGCTAAACCATTATGGAAAACCTGAAAGCACTGGATGGCTTTTTCGTCCTAGTATGGGACTCTTCAGCAGTGCGCATCCATGTAATAAGTATTAATATTAATGTGGATTACCTTGATAATTCTGATATGATTGTTTTGACAAGCTACATTTGTTGTTGTTGGTATAATTATTGAACTTCAATGTATTCTTATGTTTTATTGTTATTAGAGATTGTTGCTATTTAACTGAATTCCAAAATAAAACGAATTAGATTTTTTAAAAAATTTGTATTGTTTGTTCAAATAAAAGAAACAAACAATCACAAATTACATAGGGAATATTGAATAGGAATAGAATCTATCGCTCATTGAGTTATTGAATAATTAGACAGTTAAGTAAATGACAGGGTTTGATGAATATCGTTTTAATATGTTTACTGGATTCATCACCAATGGATAACAGTTGGAGAACAAGTAAAAACTAGGAAGCACTGAATAATTTGAAATTTAAATCAGCTTTCATCAAAGCTCTTTAACTAAACTATTTTAGTCAACTTACCAGTGATTGAGTTTATTACGTTCCTGAAGATCTAGTAAGAAGTTGAAATTGGTAGATTTCAGACATATCTTTAATGATTCATTATCATTATTATCATTAAATCCATCGACTTAATTGTTCCTCAATTCCCTTAGGAGTTTATTAGCAAACGTTCCTGATATGACATCATTTTATTTAACTACTTTAATACCTTAAATTATTATTTAATTATCTTACTCTCTATTCACAATCTAATCCATTTTTAATAATCTAGTTATATAACCTTTCTGTTACATCAACAACACTATTTATTATTCATATGTTCTAACAGAAATAATACTTAAGATATCAAACATATATATACTATTGTACGGCTTGATAATAAATTTGTCGAAAAGCGATCCTTTCACTGAACTTCATGTGTTTAGAATGGATCATTTGTCACAATGATAGCTTCTCTATATTGAGACTGAAGTAACTTCACTGTACTTCGACTTAATGGCTCGAACTTTTAAGAGTTCGTCACTAAAACTAACGATACTGGGTTCAACTCCTAATGAAGTTGTTGATGTTAGTTGCTGAAGCGTCCCATACTAGGAAAGAGTATTCTAGTTTTTAAAGATATTCCAATTAAATCGATTTATAACGAACTTAATTTACAGTTGTCAACTATCAGGTTTGATAACTGAGTGTATATTTCAATAGAATTCAGAATTTACGATGAAAGAGGTGTTCTTTAGTGATATAAATTCCTAAGATTACTCTGTTTACACTGGGTTTATACTCTTTTAAAATTTCAACAATTTTTTAATTTGGTAGTGAGCCCAAAGTACTAAAATGATGCCTCATTTTAAGCTGATGATTGCATGGATTCCAAAATACACATGGATCTCACTTAAAAGCGCTTAATAGAGATATGAGATTGTCGCATATTTTATATTCCAGACTACTAAACAAATTTTTGTAAATTGTAGGATTTCTATCCTCTAAATCACGATTTGATCTTTATTACAAAACCATTAAAAGCCTGGAAACATTGGACACCCGTTTAGTCCT